TGGCGTCATGATAATCTAGTACTGAATCACTACAATTACTGCATGATTTGGTAATCAGAATCGACTCCTTAGATTGTGTGATTTAGCACTTTTCGATTTATTTATGGGGTTATTTAAAATCACAGGTCCATTGCAGCAAGCCCATAACCACGCATATTTTAAAGGAGAAGATTCAACGTTGCATCAATGAAATTTAGAAGCATTTATTTAGAATAGTCATGGAAAAAATTCGCCAAACAAGTGCGTATGTGTATGGAAAGCCGTGAAGATCAATTGCTAGATGTAATATTCCATAAATAACCATCTACGATGTACTTTGTGATTCAATAAAAACTTGCAATTGAAAGAGTAAAAACTGTGATTTCAGGCTTATAATAGCGTCCATGTATATCAGGAATAGATTTTTCAGTATTGACTTCAAGTGGGTTAATCGTTGTTGGCTTGCCGCTATGTACATGATCCTTGAGATATTTCCAAAAAAACTATTCTGGAGGCGTTAAATCACACGATCTAATCGGCCAATCCACCGGCCCCGAACGTGACATGAACTGCTCACTGAACTCGGCTCTCAACTGGGTTATTGTTTCGCGTGTTGGCTTTACCTTCTTCAGTATATTTCTTGCAATGCTTCTAGTTGATCTTCACTCCAAAAAAACGGCAATTTTGCTTCTTCACGTATACGTTCATCTAGAAATGCGCTTCGTCGCTGAACACAATTTTTCGATAAAAAAGTGTACCTTAATCCAAGAGATCCACACTCAAATCCTTTGGCAAAATTGTTCATGTGTCTTCCTCAGAAAAATCGAAAAATTTATTTTCTGCAATATGGACTTTTTTTTGGTATTTTTGAAAAGGAAATTCTGGATCTGTGGGAAGATTTTGATAAGCAAACGATTATTTATCTAATGATTTCAGTAAAATGGTAATTTGTTTTTTTTTTCGATCTTTTGAGACATTCAAAATAAACCTGACATTTTTTGCAAAGGACATTTTCCGGATACAGTATATATTGAACACATAGAAAAATTAATCAATACCAATTACGACTGCAATAGCAGTTTGTTTAGCGGTGTTGCTACTATGTTGATGGTCAAGAGTTCGAAGCCTTCTAAATTTCTATTTATAATACTAGTCACATGAGTCACCCCATCTAAGAGTATTTCCCACATATAATAAAATACTTCTCATATATAGCTTATAAAATTATGTAGGCCTTTATATTTGTTGTAAAAACATTAAGACGTACCGCACAGACGAAAATTGTCGAGTGGTCAGCATTGACGAAATTAGCGAAAACTAATATTTGCATTTGCGGGCGTCTATCGGCAGGGAATGCCAAGCGCTCTGAGTTTTTTTCCTATGTGAAAAGCAAGGCCTCTCATAAAATACCATCACTCGTTCAGAGACGGCTCAGTTTGAACTGTACGTACATTCATTTGTTGGAAAAACATCTAGACGCATACCACAAATTGGGAAAGAGGAGGAGGAAAGAGCTGAAAATCGCCTGAGCGGTTACAAAATGCCAATGGAAATACTTTATGAATGATCAGGCCCAACGAGAGGGGGGGGGGGGGATCGGGGACTTTTCCCCCTAGAATATCTATGACGTAACTGACTACAGATTTTCATGGATTGCGATACTAATTCTGCGCGTCTGAAAAAAATCAGTAATTTTGTTACTTCACATATGATGTATGTGACGCATGTTCTTATCTTACAGTCATTGCAGTAAGATTTAGTTTTGTATGAGAAAGATCAATTTTTCAGGCTATAATCTGTGAAAAGTCTTACATAGAGCTATAACTTTTGGAAAAAATGAAGTTAATTGTCTACCTAAAATAATTTCACTTTTGTAAATTGAAAAATATTTAATCTCATTTTCATTCTTGTGGTTGTTTCCGAAAACGGAAGTAGAAGAAGTTCAGACTGCTGCGCGACGTTTTCCTGAAAAATACCCTGCTGATTTGTCAATCGAAATATCGTGCGAAATCATTCACTTAAAAAACGTTTATCAGGCTAATTTTGCTGAGAGTAGTACAACTCATTTGTCTCCATTCGATTTGTTGAATGCTATCTCCACCAAAAATTTAGATACACTGTTTCCAAACATCTGCATTGCTCTGCGGATATTTTGCACGTTGCCAGTCTCAGTTGCTAGCGCCGAGCGATCATTTAGCGTACTTTTAAGAATAAAGAACTATCATCGTTCTTGTTCAAGCCAATCTCGAGTCTCAGGACTGGCAACGTTATGTTTGGAATCTCAATTAGCTAGAAAACTTGACTTCGGTGTTATCATTGAGGAATTTGCATCAGCTAAAGCAAGGAAGGCATATTTTTGAGGGTTGCTACCTATTAAAATACTATTGTGATGCAAACTAAGGTAATAAAATTGTTTAAACAAAACTTGTTCCAAATTACTCATTCATTTTCATTTTTATTCAAGTTCTATTCTATCTTAATCCCCAACTCGTTGATTTGCAGTGTAAGTACAAATAAACATATTTGTTAGATCATGAAATTAAGGTGTTGGGGGCCCGCTACCTATTAAAATACTATTGTGATGCAAACTAAAGTAATAAAATTGTTTAAACAAAAATTGTTCCAGATTACTCATTCATTTTCATTTTTATTCAAGTTCTATTCTATCTTAATCCCCAACTCGTTGATTTGCAGTGTAAGTACAAATAAACATATTTGTTAGATCATGAAATTAAGGTGTTGGGGGCCCGCATTTGAATTATCCCCGGGCCCCGATTTTCTCTCGGCGGTCCTGTGTATGATCTTTGATGCATTAAGTAGGAGATCTATATGCGATTTTTCGAACAATTTTTGTAACACCTAAGTTGTAATTTCCATCCGCTCAAGCATTTAGCAGTAGTTAGCTTTTGGGAAATTGATTCAAAAACTTATGAAAAGACAGAAAATATACAACTTTTTATAAAAAATAGTCTCTTTCTACCACTTAATGTAATATTTGAGCAATTAATATATTGGTATCGAGCTTATAAATGATTACAACATATACAAACATACTGCCCTTAATACTTGAATACCCTAGTATAACAAAATAGGTAGAATAACAACTTACACGTGCCAAAATAATGCCAAGTACTCATAACTGCAAATACTCTCGTCGTTGCTACCGACGTCTAGTCAATTATAATTATGAGTACAACTTGTTAAGGCTCATTATTTTGTGTGTTTATCTTTGCTGCCTTGGCGACAATATATACATACACTATGAAACAAAGCTGTACACTCAAAACCCACTTTTTCACTTCGAGTAAAATAAAAGACTTTTATAACGCAATTTTAGAAATAATATTTTTTTTAAAACCCTTCATTTGTCTTAAAAAGGTTTGTACATAAAAATAAAAAAAAAATAAAAGCAAAATTTCGTTGTGAAAAATTCATAAAATTGATCTTAATTAGTGTTCGCTTTTGCACTTCATATATTATTTGGTAGAAATTTAACAAAAATCACACATTAATATTTGGTAAAACCTCGCTTGTTCTTCAGAACCAATTTAATTCGATTTCGCATGGATTCAACCACTCTATCCCAAAGCTTCACAATGCTGCTTGGAAGTGTTTCACAAACCATAAGTTCTCTATCGGATTGAGATCTGTGCTATAATAATGTGTGTAATGAGTTTTATTAAGTTAAATTTTCGACTTGCTATAGTGTCACTCACCGTCTTTTGCGGTTGTCGGCTAAAAAATAAATAACGACATATTTATATCTCCAACTAATCATTATAGAGAAGAGCTGCGTTCTTCATATTCCCAAATTTTCGAGCCAAGCCAAATTTCCCTGAAGCTCAGCGAGACAGTCGAAGAATATCGAATCAAGGCTGGACAGTGACAGGGGCAGTGTTCAATAGACTCCTCCTCCTCTTCTTCATCCCTACAGCTGGGACTAAAACCAATAGAGCGGCAGCTCATTTTTTGCCTTTGAATAATATTCTTTTATTTTGCCTGTAGTTATGTTATTGGAGAACCGGGTTCGAAGGACAAGATGTATTGTATCCAAATTTGGCCATTGCTGTCTGGTCACGTTGCACGTGATCTCATTAGAGGGCATCTACCGGCCCGAATTGCCGGAGGTACTACAACATTATAGAGATGTGATGGCAGTTTAGCGGTCGGAGCATATCGCAACGGATTTTCCCGCTCCCGTAGATTTGAATAGCCACTCGGCGGCTTTCATGATTGCAAAGAGCTCTACTTGGAACGCACTGCAGTGGTCTGGTTGTCTTATGCTCAAATTTTTTCAAAGCGATGTACACTGAATGCCACAGCCCACGTTTTCATCGAGCTTTGAGTCGTTTATAAAGATGGCTATGGCTCCCTGATCGAGAACGTTTGTGTTTTCCCATTCATTCCTATTTGGGATTCTCATGGAAAAAAGTTTGTCGAAGCATATACTGGGGGTGGTATAGTCCTGCTCCATAACACTTTTGCAAGATACAGGTTTTTAATGTATCCTATATTTGAGAGAGCCGATGGCAGTGCTCCTGTTATGAGGGTATCAGTCGACAGCTGAACTCTCACTAGTTTGTTTTTGAGAGTAATTTTTTCGAGTGCCGGCCAACATGCGGTGACGCCGTAGAGTAGGGTTAGTCTAACTACCGTCGTATTATTCAGTACACGATATTCGCTCTTAGACCCCATCATTTTCCTATCGCCGTTTTGCAACCGTAAATTACAGTTATAGCCTTTCTCGACTTCTCTGCCGTGTTCAGGCTTTAGTTGTGAGATATTTGACTTAAATATAGAGGCGATTGAAGGGAGTAATTTTTATGACTTATTCATAGAAAAAAGATTCCTGTATTAAGATATGCCCTCGGAAGCTTAATGATTTATTAATTTGTAAAAAAATTATTACAGTTCTTTCTATAAATATTATCCATATATAAACATACACCTTGTCCTTTGATATATTCATTGGTTTGCTTATTAATATGGATTGTGTTGTATTTTCTTGTTCTTAATTGCAGTTAGTTGGCGGAAATGGGAATGAGTACCACTTTAAACATCGGACATTGCCTCATGGACGCTCAAGGCGGAGTATAGCCCATACACGACTTTTGAAGAGCCATCCATTGGTGAGTAATAGTTTTGATTTTTATCAATAGTTTCTATATTAGATCAAATCATAAAGTTAAATGCGTGATAATATGAGAATAAAGTGGGAAATATTATTGAAAAGGTTTTTTTTGGAGTTTTTTCATTTTTCTAGTGTCACCGCCTCATTTAGACGACCATCGGCGTCTCAATGATATTTTTGTAAGACAAAACAAACCAATGAAAAATAATATAAGAAAAATAATATAAGCTGCAGAGTTAAATATACAAGGCAAAAGGACAGAGAAACGGGTACTGAACGTAGGCGAGACGGAATATGTCCTGCCATAAAACACAAAGTCAGCGCATTCGACTGTTAGCTGCCACGTAGCTGTTGATGGTGGTGATTTGAAGTCGTACATTGAAATTTATTTGAGTAGTACATCGCAATATCGACAATAATGACAGGCTTTAAATCAAACGCAGATTCTTTTTCAGGTCATTATTCTGTAGAATTGTTTCTGGGTTTTTAGTTTTATGGAACTGTCTCAGACCATATATTTTTGGGAATATGTGAAAAAATTACAACAATAGTAACTGCTATTTTGGAAACCACCGAGTATCCTTATCAGACTTCTTTTTCCAGACACCTTTGTTCGAATTGAATTCGAACTTGGGATGCCCACAGCACGAACCAATGGTTATCCACGATCAAGTGCTCAAATATTCTGTAACTGTAAAACTTGGTGCGATGTAGTTGTTTTTGCGAAGAGTTTACCCCCAAATATTTTAAGGCAACGCCTTTTTCATAATTGGAAATTTTCATTTGCGCGGTAAGGCTCTTCCGTAATTCCTAGATGCAGGTCATTATTCTATTCAGAATCACAAATCAGTCCACGGGAAGAGGACTGAGAAGGCGATCTGAAACACGGACAAATATCGAACTCTTACCGGTCCCACATCATTTCTCTTCTACTATGTGTCGGCATTAGAAGATTTCGATGTTTTGCGGAAGATTTATGGTTCTATGGGCGTTAGCAACGATGACAAAAGCAGACGATGGGAAGATGAGTTGGAGCCGTTGAAGCAATTTTCGGCCATGCTCCTCTTCCAATTCGTTTTATGCTTCTCTCCTTGAGGGTTTTCCAAAAAATTTGGCTCCTATAGTTTTGACTAAGTATCCTCCGAACGGCTGATGGTTTTTTATGAGAAGCTTTTTATTTTATGCCAGAAATACACTTGGGGACTTCCAAGACTCAGGTTTCGGTTGGTATTATTGTCGATTACATGTATAATATGCGAGCGTGATCCTCGCCCTACGATGTGAAAGCATATGTGCATATTCAAAAATACGAAAATGTTAATAATATTTATTTGTTTATTCAATCGTCCTTAAGCAATTATTTTAAATGTCAAAAATTTCAATTGGAAAATGAAATTCAAATATAAAAATTCAACAAAAAATATGTATATTGTTGTATGAATGTATATGTGAGTGCATATACATATGTATGTATGTATATCACCATCAATGAAAACTAAAATCTAAATGTAAACACTGATTGCTAGTCGGTTAATTCTGTGGTAGCTCTACACCTACGCATCTAACCCACATTAATCAAACAAACTTCGGCACTGCTGGTTTCGGCACTGCTGGTTTAGGTGGAACTCATCTCCTATTTGTATTAAGTAGGACAATTCTGTGCTTACTCCCATCGAGCACAGAAATTCAAGGAAATTGCTTGTGTCTACATATATTTGCAAATTCATGTCAATGGAAGGAATGAAAATGAATTTTGGAATCCAAACAGACATACAAAGCCACTCGTATGCCATTGTGGGCTTCGTAGTCCTTCTCTGCATAGTCTTTCCAACGGAGTGGAGGTCCTCCTCTTCCTCTGCTTCCACAGTCGGGTACCGCATCGAAAACCTTCAAAGCGGGAGTATTCGCATCCATACGGATCATATGACCTAGCCAGCGTAGCCGCTGCTTCTTGATTCGCTAAACTAAATCAATGTCGCCGTATGACTCGTACAGCTCATCGTTCTGTCGTCTGCGGTATTCGCCATTGCCAACGCGCAATAGACCATAAATCTTACGCAAAACCTTTCTCTCGAAAACTTTTAACGCCGTCTCATCAGATGCAGTCATCGTCCATGCATCCGCGCCAGATAGCAGAACGGTAACGACGAGGGACTTGTAGAGTTTGGTTTTCGTTAGTCGGGAGAGGACTATACTTTTCAATTGCCTACTCAGTCCAAAGTAGCAACTTTTGTTAAGAGTGATTCCGCGCGTGGATTTCAAGGCTGACGTTATTATTGGTGTTAATGCTGGTTCTACCTCTATAAGTCATACGTTTAAAAAGATCAAGGAACCTACATATATTTATATAAAAGTACTAGCGGACACGGCCACACTTTGTTCTGTATTTCTGGATTTTGTCAAGCGATAAAAAGACTTTATTAAGAATATTTTATTGTTCTGTTATCGAGTCTTCTTGCTACGCACAATCTATTCTTGTACCTTAATAATAATTTTGTCAATCTGTCAGAATTTCTCTTCCCTGGCCCTTGTATACCTTGTCTTGAATTTGAATATTGCCTAAAAATTACGAGCATCAGATGACAAATCACAAACTTTGGATGCTACAATGCTACAAACGACGTCATTTGGAAGCAAGAATTATATTTTCGTTTCTTACGCAAAAATACTTTTGATTCATTTGAACTGCCAGAAAGAAGGGATTTTGATAGTTCAGGTGGAGTAGGGAGTGTTGACAATACAACTTTTCCTGATGCGCAACACATGCCAGGTGTTTCATTGCGAAATCTTAACGCTTGACAATAATTTTATATTTTGTCCATCGCACGAGCTTTGGAATGAGCCGAGTGATTGTTGTCCGGTTCATAATTAAATGCAAGACGAATGATCCACGGATTGCCGCGCGGTTGGTTTGATGATTTTCTCGGTTTTGTTCTCTAAATGAATGTATGTGTTCTTGATGGTTTTCAATGCATTCTTTTGTCACGCTGTTCTCGTGATTCTCGTGCACGAATTTCAGCTATGCGAATTCTTTACGCAGCATTTCTTTCCGCTCTCTGTTCAACTGATTCATGAACTCTTTCAACATGTGCACATCGAGTCTTTTTGCTACGGGCATTAAGGTTGGATTCAATGGTTCACATTTTACTAAAAATCGTAATTGAATTTTTAATGTCAATGAATTTCGCTTTTCTCAGATTTTGTAAATTATATTTGACTGTTTTTATATAACTGTAAATTAGATGTAATAAAAAAATATTACAAAGTAATGTGCGGAACGAAGACAAAATGAAGAATTATTTGAAAGAAGCGGGGTTAAGTGTTATATATAAGACATGTATAGTGTGTAGACTAAGTAGGTGCGGCGCCATCTTTTAGGTGCAAAGGACAATGTTTTACAGTTCTCTGTAAAGAAATTCGCTTAGGGCGTCATCTGTTCCAGACTTATGGAACCTACGATCAGTAACAATAATCAGCGTTGATGATCGGTTTTTTTTTTATCAATTGTTAATTATTGAGCCCATTAATTTAAATTATAACTATCCCATCATCTAAGTTGGACCAAATAATATTTTATATATCAACTTTCATGAATATCAGTTGACTCGTTTTTGAGTTATTTTAAAACATACACACGGACACGGGCTTTTTATATATTTAGATATGTGTGAGCATAGCGTTAGTCTTGTTTAGGCAAATAATCTTGAAAGGACAATATGGTCCAAAAGGAATAGTCACCCTACATTACTCTATTCTGGCATTGATTGCAGAAAGTTATCGATTTGAAAAAGGCCCAAAAATCGTTGAAAACGGAAACCATACGATGAAATAAACTATAAATTGTTTTATTATCAGGTATACAACTTTGCTTCCGCCGTTTTTTTTTCCAAAATTGAAGACTTTATTGCGAAAAAGTGTTTACAGATAAATTATTCAAAGTATTGTCCTTCGCTAGCGACAACTTTCTCTCATCTTTCGGGCAATTTTCGGATCCCAGCTCGCGAAAAGGAATCCTATTTTGACGCTATCCATGAAGTAATTCATTTTACCAATTCTTCGAAGGATTGAAAATGTTGATCTGCCAGGCCGTGTGCCAGCCATCGAACGGAATAGGTGGAAGTCAGAAGGGGCGACATCTGGGGAATACGGCGGGTGGGGCAAGACTTCTCATTTCAGCGTTTCCAGGTACTTTTTGACCACTTTTGCGACGTGAGGCCGAGTATTGTCGTGTTGGAGGATGACTTTGTCATGTCGCTCTTGATATTGTGGCCGCTTTTCTTTAAGCGCGCGATTATGGCGCATCAGTTGTGTTCGGTAGCGATCTCCTGTGATGGTTTCACCCGGTTTTAAGAGCTCGTCGTAAATCTTTGAAATCACCATTTTTAAAACGTTGACACGTTCTTTCACTCAGAGCAGCATTACCGTAAGTTTCTGAGAGCATTCGATGCGCTTCAGCGGCATTTTTTTTAATCGAATTGTAACAGAAAAGTAAAACTTCCCGCAAATGGCGAGAATTAGGCACATAAACGGACATTTTCGAGCGTGAATAATACGAAAACAAGAACAACTGTCACTGAAGCGGCGATGACAATTCGTTAGGCACTGACCACACCCACTTTAAAGGCATTATCTATGTATTTCAACCAGCCTCAGCCGGTACAGCCACCTATCGGAAAACGGCGGAAGCAAAGTTGTACATCTGATAATACTTGAAACTGCTAATAAACGAATATGAAATTTGTATTTTTCTTAGAGAAAGTAAAACATTTTGGCAAATTTTTTTATTTTTTTTTGAAATTGTGATGGATAACAGTGCGTGCTTTCATACGGGAGATCGGTTCTTGTGCGAGACTTGACGGCCGAAAAGGTACTTTGGTGATCTTGGAAGTCCTGACACGCTTTAAATTTTCTGATTGCCGTCGCCTTTCGCAGGAGAATCACACTTCCGGGGGAATTAAGAAATATGTGAAATAAAAAATCCTCATAAAAATACTTATTCCATTTTGAGACAGCTTAGGCTAACTGAAATTAAGGATGAGTTCTTCCAAAAAAAACGGTTATTTTCGGTCAAATGGTGTGTAGTGCTTAGTACCGTAAAATATATATATGTAATTATTTAGGAGAGCTTCAATCATAAATCTACTCATTTGTTTGCATACCAAATAATTTAAAGGTTTGATTCTAACTACTTTTTTTAACCTTCCTCCTTCACAGATCCACACCGCCATTCAACAGCCGGGCTTCAAACGCGTCAAACGTGGCCTACGCCCAGCGATACCAGCTATACACGGTCTGCAATTCGATGATGCATACGGCACACAACCCGTTGGCCTTGAGCCGACTGATCCATATTTTCCTTTACAATGGTATTTGAAAAATACTGGCCAAAATGGTGGTAAAATTCGTTTGGATTTGAATGTGCAAGCCGCTTGGGATCAGGGTATAACTGGGAAGAATGTTACGACCGCAATAATGGACGATGGTGAGTGAAAATTACATACGTACATTCTGCTTATTTTTGGTATAATCTATTATTTTATGTATATGTATTTCGCAGGTGTGGACTACATGCATCCCGATCTGAAGTTTAATTATGTGAGTATGAGACTTTTTAATGACAGGTAACAAAAGCTTACTACTTTTTCTTTAATGCGATCGACCCTGAAATTGATTGCAGACGTCTTCATTTGTTTGGTTTACGTAATTCTCTTAGAAAATTCAATCAGTTAATTCAATAAATTTTTTGTATCCCTATTTCCGAGTATGCGGCCGCGGTAGCCGAGTGGTTAGCATTGCATACTCCCACTCTGAGGGACAGGGTTTGAGTCCTGGTTCGAACAACATCCAAAATTATAGAAAATTAATTTTTCTACCAGCGTTCCCCATCGGCAGGCAATGTCAGCCACTCCGAGTGTATTCCCATTTGTTAGAAAAACATCAACGCCATACCGACTTGGAGAAGCTCGGCTGAAAATCGCTTCAGCGGTGACAAACCATCAATATAAAAAATGTACCTCTTATACCCTGAATTAATATTATAGATACCTTGCTCGTTGGAATCTCAGGGCCAACTGTGTGTGTAGAGCACACTATGCCGCTCTGTATTTGAACATATTTTTAGTTTCTTTATTTTATCATTCTTCTTCTTCTTTTTTTATTACCATGTAAAAGTCCTTGTTCTAAATGAAAAAAAATTTTGTTAGAATCCCTTAACAAACTCCTATACCTTTTATGAACACGATATCTTGGTCCGAAGTTTGTAAGCACCAGAAAGATAAGAGATAGACCTATCAAAGTTCCGATATGATCCGGATGACGACTTGTCCGTCTGCACACATGTTTGCACGCAAACTAACTAGTTTTCGAAATATTTAAACTTCTTCTTTTCCAAAATTAAAAGCTTTATTGCGAAAAAGTGCTTACAGATATATTATTCAAAGTATTGTCCTTGCTAGCGACAATTTTCTCTCATCTTTCCGGCAGTTTTCGGATCCAGGCTCGAAAAAAAGAGTCCTCTTTTGACACTATCTATGAAGCAACCCATTTTTTCAATTCTTCGAAGGATTGAAAATGTTGATCAGCCAGGCCGTGTGCCAGCCATCGAACGGAATAGGTGGAAGTCAGAAGGGGCGACATCTGGGGAATACGGCGGGTGGGGCAAGGCTTCCCATTTCAGCGTTTCCAGGTACTTTTTGACCACTTTTGCGACGTGAGGCCGAGCATTGTCATGTTGGAGGATGACTTTGTTATGTCGCTCTTGATATTGTGGCCGCTTTTCTTTTAGCGCGCGACTAAGGCGCATCAGTTGCGTTCGGTAGCGATCTCCTGTGATGGTTTCACCCGGTTTTAAGAGCTCATAGTAAATCCTTAAATGTTTTTTCTCTTCCACCACCATGTTTGTCTTCGACATCGAAATCACCATTTTTAAAACGTTGAAACCACTCCTGACACGTTCTTTCACTCAGAGCAGCATCACCGTAAGCTACTGAGAGAATTCGATGCGCTTCAGCTGCATTTTTTTTCGAATTGTAACAGAAAAGTAAAACTTCCCGCAAATGGCGAGAATTAGGCACACAAACGGACATTTTCGAGCGTGAATACGAAAACAAGGACAACTGTCACTGAAACGGCGATGACAATTCGTTAGGCACTGTCCACATTCACATTAAAGGCATTATCATCTATGTATTTCAACCAGCCTCAGGTGGTACAGCCACCTATCGGAAAACGGCGGAAGCAAAGTTGTACACCTGATATTATTAAAAGCATTAATTATTCGTCAGCAGAAGCCAGATCGAACCGGAGTGGGCATTTGTGATCGCTTTTATTTAATTTACACTCAGTTGGCATTTAATATTGGGCAGACTCGTTCCGGCACAACGTTTGCTAATCGTGCAAATTTATTACCAAAATAATGGTTCGGTTCGCGTGGCATATCGGTCAATATTCGGTCGACATAATCGCCAGCAGAGTCGGTAATTCCAGTAACCAATGATCGGATGGTTCGCATCACGTTTACTACAGTTTTACTACCAGTGACGCCATAGGGTGCGCACCGAAAACGATATTGTGGCTGTGGAATAACGAAGAAGGCCCAAATGAGCTCATCAGCCATTGCGCAAAACAATTGGAGCTATGTTCATCTACTTTGTGGAAGAGATCAAAATTTGATGGCCACCGTCACCGTGCTCTATGTGTGGAGGGAATCATTAATATATATTACTTCAAATATCAAGCCGGCCATAATATTATAGTCAATGGGGAACGCTATAACCCAGTTTTGTGCCTAAATTGGAGGATGTTGATGTGGCTGATCTTTGGTTTCAACAAAACGGCGCTACATGGCATACAGCAAACGAAGATGATCTTGGGGGATCTTACGGTTTAACACCACTGGACTATTATTTGGGGGGTCATGTGAATTAGTTTTTCTACGAAGATCAGCCCGATGAGATTCACACCTTGGCAGACAATATTCCGCACGTTTTTGTTGACACATGGCCTGAATTGCTGCAAAAAGTGGATAAAAATTAATTCGAGCCAGCCGCTGAGTTTACTAGCTCGAAATGAATTTTAAAACATTTGGATGTATGCCTGTACTACCCTGCGAAAATTTTTTGGACTTACCATATTCGTATATAACATATATTGGATTAATTCAATAGGTGCTTCTCTGTGGTCAACTAGTGTTCGGCGCCATCTGCTTTGCTCCCGTTTTAACGATAATCATTACTTTTTGCTCTCATTTCGATGATAAGCTCTGCTGGTACATAGATGACGTGCATAAGTGTGAGCATATAAGTATATTCCCATGCAAATCGAACAATACTCAATAATGTAACCCACTGTAGGTACTGCGTGGAGAATTTTTTTGATTAATTTCAAACGTAATCTCATGTATGTACTCCGTACGGTACTCGGATGTTATGCAGAGCTGGAGGACATGACCCAGCCTTAGGACATCGCATATTGTTTGTATGGATTGTGATTAGTTTTGGAGTACTCTTCGTGGAGTATGTACGAGTATTTTGCATGAGCATGGACTAGTCGCGTTGTTTGTTGCGTCTTATAAACACATGTATTTATGTAGAATATGTTTAGTTAACACCAGCTAAATGACAGTGACACTTTACTAATCGTGCATCAACATTCATGAAAGTCGCAGTCACGTTTGATATTTAATGATATTTACATATGTATATGTATAAACATTTTTTTTCCAACTTTCATAAAATGTTTGGTCTGAGTAACGTCAAAATCTTTTTGTATAATTTGGGGCGATGCGAAATAGCAACTGTCACGCACTTTAAATGACTAACTCTGAAAGTCCTGTGACAATGCGTTAGAATGTTTGTATGTATTCACTTATTTATTATACCTTTGAGCCTTTAACCTTTTCGAGTGTGCTTCAGTGTTGCTGCCATTAAATTTCTGAAAGGAATTTCGTAAATGTTGTAGAGAAGAGTTTCTCCATGCTTATTTTAGGTTTTCGCAAGTCATTATATTTATTTTATAGGTATGTATGCCTTTTCTTCTGGTACATACGTTTCTCTCGAAAATTATCAACACCGACTCATCAAATATTGTCATCGTCCATGTCTCCGCACTATACAGCAGGGCGCGAATGATGAGCGACTTGAACAGTTTGGTCTTTTTTTGTCGACAGAGGACATTACTTTTCAATTGCATACTCAGTCTAAAGTAGCACCTGTTGGCAAGAGTGACTCTGCATTGGATTTCAAGGTCGTTAATACTGGTTCCAAGATTATATATTTAATTCATCTATGATCTCGATGTTATGATCGTCAAATGTTGCGGAGGAGGCGAACCGCGAAAGTAATAACTGTACACGTATGTTTGATGACAGAAGATATTTCGCTTTTCTCTCGTTCACTACCCGACCCGTACGCTTCGCTTCCTTATCCTTCCCTATCTTACCTTTTTTATTCAGCTTTGCAGCTCTTATTATTATCTCCAGCATCAAATTGAAGAAATCGCATGGCAAAGAGTCACAATGTCTGAAACGTTGTTTGGTATCGTACAGCTTGGAGAAGTTCTTTCCGATCCTGACGGAGCTTCTAGTATTTACACAGCCGTGTAAATTCGCGAGGATACCAAATTCTGACATAACGGCGTAAAGGCAGCTTCTTTTCGATACTGATAAGGTCCCATCAGTTTGCTGACGGTGGGCTTTAGTTTTTCACACAATACGCTCGACAGAACCTTAAAGGCGATATTAAGGAAGCTTATCCCACGATAGTTGGCGCAGACTGTGGTATCGCCCTTTTTGTGGATTGGGCAGAGCACACTTAAATTCCATTCGTCGGGCATGCTTTCATCTGACCATATTCTGCAGAGTAGCTGATGCATGCACCTTGTCAGCTCTTCGCCGCCATGTTTGAATAGTTTTGCCGGTAGGCCGTCAGCTCCCGCCGCTTTGTTTTTTTTTTTAAGCGGGCGATTGCTATTCGAACTCTTCATGGTCAGGTAATGGAATGACTTTTCCAACGTCATGGATTGGGGTTTCGGGTTCACCACCTCCAAATTCTCCAGTTTCACAGCTATTCAGCAGGTTGGAGAAGTGTTCCCTCCATAAATTCAGTTTACTCTGAGCATCGGTGGCTAGGTCACCCCTCTTCCGTAAGCCGTCGTATCTTCTCATAGAATTTTCGAGTATTCCCCTTGTCGGCCAGCTTCTCAAGCTCTGCATTCTCACGCATCTCGGCCTTTTTCTATTTTTTTGTCTATAGATGCGTCTTGCTTCCATCTACAATTCTCAGTATCTATCCCATCCCGCACGTGTTGTGGTCGATCGCAAAGTTGCGAGCTAGACAGTCTGTTTTCTCTCCGCTGCGACACGGCAGTCCTCATCGTACCAGTTGTTTTTGCGACCTTTACGAAATTCAATAGATTCCTTTGCAGGTAGGGAGTTTGTGATGCCGTTCCACAGGTCCCGTTTTATTACATTACAATACTAAATAAAGTATGAATAAAGCATATTCAACATATTGATTCATTGAAAGTGAAACTTAAAGTAATTAACCTCTGGAATTTATGCACACAAAGCCCCAGCAAATGTATGCATTCATCTATATGTATTCATATCCTCTTACAAGATTATATTGTATATGCCATTGAAGTTAGTTTTTTTTGGTTTTTTTTTAATTAAAATAGATGCTTTGAATATTTTAAAGTTGCCGATAATTTCTTCACTTCTACAGCATCTTCTTCTATTCCTTTGAAAGGCTTTATCCTTTGAATAATAAAATTGAAAAGTCCTTTTTTGTTCATTATGGCAAACAATATGGTTCAAAAGCTGCGCATTCTCTCTACGTTAATATATAGATAAATAAGCTTTTGTGCAAATATTTTTTGTTCTTTTGTTACAGAATGCAGAGGCGAGTTATGACTTTAGCAGTAATGATCCCTTCCCATACCCGCGCTACACGGATGATTGGTTCAATAGGTGAGTAAATCACTTTGTAATCATTCTCTTATATGTTTGTATTTAGATATATATATATATATATATATATATATATATATATATATTAAACTACATGTGTACACTCGAAATTACTTCCTTTTCCATTTTATTTATTTGCTTTGCCCTTCTGTGCTTAATTATATATGTACATACATATATAATATAAACAATACACGGTGTGCCCCAAAAATAACTGAACTTTTTGGATATAAAATAATATACACACTATGTTATCTTTGAAAGTTATTATTTATTCAAAATAGGTTCCATTTGGAACGATCAACCAGCGCAGGCATAGATTTTTTTATGTCATTTATAGAAATGTTCTTCAGTACATCGGTTACGGCTGCTTGAATGGCTGGGATATCACCATAAAATGCTCCCTTCATCTTGGTTCTCAGTTTTGGAAATAAAAAATAGTCACATGCTGATAGATCAGGCGAATACGGAGGATGGTCGATGAGAGAAATCCCTTTTTTTGGTCGTCATTTAATTCATGTGGAACAAATCGCTCACAGATCCTTCTTTTCCCCAAATCTTCAGTTAAAATTCTCCAAATAGTGTTTTTACTCGTATTCAATTCCTCAGCCAACATTCTCGTAGTAAAATTTGCATCGATACCAATGATTTCAGGGACTTTTTCCACCAGTTCAGCACGATTACTAGTTTCTGGGAGTCCTGTTCTAGGGTCGTCATTTAAATCCATTTTTAAATCATGTAAATCATGTATAAACTTGCGTACGACTCACACTCATCATCACAATAAACCCTTTTCATTAATTTTTTTTCAAGTTTGACACAAAATTTTATATTTGCTCTTTGTTCCATTTTATTTTTGAACCATTACCACACTTTTGGTTTTATTGAAATGGCTGTCACTTTTACATCTGTCATCCGACTTACATGATGTTAGGTGCGTTTGAAAGAGGATAAATGTATCTTTTTAATGTTGCAAATTTTCAATAGATGGCGCTGTATGTTGTATTTTTAGGACACACCGTGTTTATATACAATATATAACTATAATAATGGGTGTATGTAGATAGGTAGTTTCATTCTCTCTTTACAGTAGGTTTCACAGCTATCTGATATTATACCTGTTGCAACTTTTTCGTGCTGCTTTCTTTTCTTCAAAAAAGTACACTACTTTTAAAAAAATTATGTAGTGTTTTAATATTGTTTTTTTCCAACCTTAATAGTGGACTTCATCGGTGTATGCATTTCTTGATTGTTGTATAACTTTAGTAAATTTTTGGAAAGTATCGGAAAGAGAATAGATTGAACCAACCAAATTCAAATCGAATTTAAGAATATCAGGAGCTCGCTGGACTTGGTATATCTACCAGTACTTTTGAATGCAGATCAAAACTTTGTGAGCAGACAGGATATTATTTAAATAACTGTTTGTTTTTGGGAGAGTCGGTTAAGTCGATTAACATTTTTCAGAACATTTAAATTCAATCTAACCGTCGTTTTGTTAAACAGGTTGCTCGATCAAGGAACACTATTCAATCGCACTTAGCACTGCTGGTCCGTTGTGATACCTCTGTTAGTGTTGTGTGGGAGAATCCTCTCATCTTTTCAAATGCTCAATTCACTTGGCATATTTTATGAAGTTTGGAAGATTAATTATGCCTGCAGATGCAAGATAACGATAAGGAGTAGTGTTGTACTAATTCCTCCTCATCCTTCTGTCATGATTCCCAATAATACAGTTCCTGGTTATTTCGAGGACTGTTATGCTAATGGAAGAACTCTTTAGAAGAAGTAAAGAATTAGTTCTGTTCACTTCGATCAATGAGCAGATTTGTACAGCCATCTTGTGCGTGGTGTCACTTCGTTATCTGCTGTCGGTCGTTCTGGTGAAGTTAACCTTAACAGACACTCTGGCGGAAAAAGAGCTATATGACTATTCTCATCTGCCTCACAGATCCCTGGTAAGCTCCTTAAACCACAACGTTTTATATACAGTCGAAAAAATCTATGAACACAAGTTTAAGAAAAAAATTAAAAAGGTCAACTCATTCCAAATAATTTATCATAAAAAGCTTTTAGAATATTCTTTCTTATTCCTACCGCCTAAGATAGACGGCTGGAAACCAATATTTTATTACAACCACATGCTTAGAAAATATCTTCAAAAGTAATAAAAAAATCTCCAAGTTGATTATTTTATAAGTGGCAAGATCAAACAATTCTGAGCAAACATGTTTGGGGAATTTATTTTCACTTATACCTGAGGACATATACGAGACCAAACACTGTTTTGTTCAAAATTTCTGGTTTGATTCATAGCTTGGTGGAATGCATGAATATCTAGTCCTATAGATTTCAAGTACATATTAGACCAATACCTGTGGTGGTTTATATATATATATATATAATTGATATATATAAGGTTTTTGTTTTCATACCGCAAGAAAAGTGGAAAGTTTTACCTTTCAAAAATTTATTAGAAGAAAGTGAAGAAGGATGTATTTTTTTCTGTATTTGTTATTTTTTTTTTCAATATTTGTGTAAATTCCCTTAAGAAAGTAACCTTTTTCTTAAAATTAAAAAACGAAGTTGAGCTAAGGCGGTGCCAAAGTCCATTTCTACTCCACTCCTTTCGCCTGTTTATTATTTCATCATGTCTACAAACTACGATTATGTAATAAATATAATAAAAATCTGTCAAATCATCAACTTTAAGTTTCAGTATTGAATTTAGTGACCGAATGTTATTGTTGTAATATTTTTTTTTTTTTACGATTTCCCTCATTTCTTGCAGTCACGGTACTCGTTGTGCTGGTGAAGTGGCTGCTGCCAGAGATAACGGTATTTGTGGTGTCGGTGTGGCTTATGATAGCAAAATTGCAGGTGAGTTTGCTTCCTTTATACATACATACATTTATGAATTGGAGATAACAGTAAACTATACATGACACTCACTCACGGGTGTTGAGCAAAGCAAACCAATGAAAAATTGGTGTTGAAATATATGTACGTATGTATGTTAATTTTGTACTTTAAATAGTGCACAATTTGAGTTTGGGTAAGAAGTTTGTATTCTTTCCCATCAGTTTTTTATGTACATAAGCAAACTAAGTTGATCCATGAGACTCTGTTCATTGAATTTTATTTAAATAAAAACTTAAATACAGTGGGAATAATGTTAGAGGTTACAACTATTTCTGAAGATCATCACGAGGCAGGCAGCGAAATCGAATACAAGTCGCCTGGTGTAGCAAGCAAGTGGGCTAGTGTTTCAGAAAAGTGGAGTTAAAGTCGATAAAGGCGCGTAAACTCATAATTTCTGCTTGAAAATGCTTACACCAATTTCAGAAATCTAAAGAAATGTACTACATAGAGTGCAAAGTGATACAGCTGTGTAAGAAATAGTATCAAATTAAATAAATCTCCCAAAAAACATGAATGCCAGTTAATTGCATACACATTTCATTTATGCTTTAAAAATTTTATATTCTATGTAATTAACAACAAAAACAAACTTAACTTAGAAATTACACCTCACAGCGAAAATAATGCAGTAATAATACACACTGCTGTCTATGACTGATTTCATACATTTGGGCATGGATTCCATTAACTTCTTCGTGTAGTCATCAGCAATATTGTTCCATTCTGTTTGTAGGACTTTTTTAAGTCGGCTTGAATTCAAATCTCATATTTTCGAATCTTTCGTTCTAAAACTGACCACAGATTCTAAATCACATTCAAACCTAAAGACTGTGCTGGGGTTTTTACTATGTGCATACGAGTACAGTTCCAAATAAGCCAAGTTTGCACAATGTAAAGTTGCCATGAATATCTAATTTTTAGGCACTTTGCAGCAAATTTCTTTTTAAAATATTCCAATACACAGTCATATTCATAGTACAATTTATGAAATCCAAATTTCCAACTCCAGAAGACGATATGCAACCCCATACAATTATATGCCATCCACCATGTTTTACAGTGCTACGAAAATTTGCGGTTGTAACGCTGCATTTGGTTTGCTTCATACATAGCTCTTTCCAACTGATCTAAACAAGTTGAATTTACTTTCGTCCGCAAAAGCTACGATACCTTAGATACTTTCATCTTTATATAAATTGTGCGTTGTAAAGTTCAGCCTTGTACTTTGATTTTTAGCACTGACATATGGATTATTTTGTGCTGTCCGGCCATTGAAATCAGCTTCTCTGAGGATTCTTCGTATGGTTGCTTGGTTACAGCTTTTTCCAAGATATTTTAGCACTTCTTTACCTAAAGCTGGATCACTTAAGTGGGAGTTTTCGCGTATTTTCCGTACAATCCATCGGGAATCACTTTCGTGAAATATTTTATTTTGAGCCATTTTAGTTTTATTTAACACACGAATTTCACAAACATAGCAGCGTTCAATGATATGCTGAACACTTCCTTGGCTCAATTTCACCGTGTCCGCGATTTTACGCTGAATTTTTCTGTCTTGTTTGGCGACATATTTTGATTTACACTCAAACAATGTCAATACAAAAATGTCATAAATATCCTATATTACACCAAAATTGTTTGCGATTATAGCGGTATTTATTTTGTATTAAAAAATAGTCGAGAAGACACCGCCACTAACGGTAAATCTGTGTGTATCATTTTCGCTGTGAGGTACAATTTAATACTATACTTTGTTTTTGTAATAAATTACATAAAATAAAAATAAAATATAAAATTTTTACGAAATTTAAACTAATAACACTTTTACCAGAGTAAATATAGAATATATAAATAATTAAATAATATTTTAAAAATCTGTATTTGCATAAAGTAATTAATTTTTTGATTATTTCACCTCTTCATTATACCAAAATTACAACCAAAAGTACGGAAAGTAGTTTATAAAGTCAATTTTTTTTCGCTAGATAGAGACTAGCAGTTTCTCAAAGGTTTTTGTATCTGATGTAGAAAACATTCAAAAATCGTTTACTGTATTAAGCTTTTATAATATAACAATGAGCGTTCGCTTCGAATTTGTAATAATTTTAAACGAATTAAATGAAATGATTGAATAAAAAATATTAATAAATTTTGTAATTAAAAAAATTTTGAAAATTAAAGTACATTCTTTCGTCATAAAATTATGAAATGGCTGATTACTATTTATTATATATATATATTACTTAAAATATAACGTTTAACTTTGTCTGTCAAAGATTTAACATTATCTGTTAACGATTTAACATTAACGAGTTCATTACATTTGCAAGTGTTTTAACCGAATCGCTTGAAATTTTTGGACTAAAGTGAAATTTATCGTTACGATGCCACTCAGATTTTTAAGAATTACAATGTAAGTCCTTAGCGTTTAATAGATAAATTGTTAAGCCTTTTTGTGGATAAAATTATGCAGTCTTATTTTTAAGACTTTGAAAACTCACAAAAATGTCACTACTTCATCATTAAAAATGTGTTTTTGCTGATGTGCAACAGTATACACCATAAAACCTTGTATTTAAACTGATTTAAAAACTAAATATCGATTCAAAAATAGTTTTGCTTGATAATTTTGAACAGACCAAATCGCCAAAATATTAAAATTGAGGGTGGATAAGAGATAATAGTGAGGTGAGCCTTCATAAACACGATTTTAGCGCTGTCAATTTGGCATTCGTCAATAAAAAATAAAAAACATTTATAAATATGTTATCAAAGTTTGATTGAGTGTAATCTGGCCTTGATCACTGGATGTGTTTTAAAGGAAATATAATTTTATTTTTGTATAGAAGGCATTTTGGCATTGCACCAAGCTCAAAATTGAATTCACTTGGAATAGCAATGGATAAATGGATTTTCAAATGCAACACACATATAAATAAAAATATTAATTGCATTACATGACTCGTATGTGTTACTCTTATGAAACTACATGCATAAAGCGCACATGCATCTCTCACATACATATACACATCGGTCCATATGTTTCGCCGCATAAAATCCTTGACATAATTTCGTTTCTATACTCCATAGGCATTCGCATGTTGGACCAGCCGTACATGACCGATTTAATCGAGGCCAATTCAATGGGTCACGAACCGCACAAAATACATATTTACAGCGCATCCTGGGGTCCCACCGACGATGGCAAAACAGTGGACGGACCACGCAATGCCACCATGCGTGCCATAGTGCAGGGTGTGAATGAGGTAAGCGAATTTAGCAAGTGGATGCGGATTTACGCTTCAAAAGTGCGAGCTAAATCAATCTCTTTTCTATCAATACCGTAACACCTAAGGACACATACATATATATATGAAAAAAATATGAGTAAATGGCAACTAAGTAAAATTTGTTACACTAACACATTTACTGCTTCGCTCATAACATACTTCATGTGAATTTATGTATGTTAAGTTACTTACATACATATGTATGTATAATACATACAGACATATGTATCCTTTGAGTGTGTGAATGCTCATATGACATTCAGATAACTTCATTACCCTGTAATATCGTTTGTTATCCCGCAGGGTCGCAATGGTTTGGGCAATATTTACGTGTGGGCATCAGGCGATGGCGGAGAGGAGGACGATTGCAATTGCGATGGCTATGCAGCATCTATGTGGACAATTTCCATTAACAGCGCCATTAACGACGGCCAAAATGCACACTATGATGAGAGTTGTAGTTCAACGTTGGCCAGCACATTTAGTAACGGTGCCAAGGATCCTAACACTGGAGTGGCTACAACAGATTTGTATGGCAAATGTACCACAACACATTCCGGCACGAGTGCAGCAGCGCCCGAGGCAGCTGGGGTGTTTGCATTGGCACTGGAGGCAAAGTAAGTATTTCAGCAAGCCTTGCATATACGTATGTACAAACATATGCATAGGGTCAATCATTTCGTGGTTTTAAAAGTACAGGAATGTATTTTGAAACCTGTCAAACTTAACTGTCAAACCAAACTTGTTTTGTTTTAGTTAAAAGTCAGGCATTTATGAAAATGGATCGCTTTAAGAGAAGATTGTCGCGCACATAATTGTCCCACAACTGAAACTATTGGTGAAGGTTTGAAGAGACTGGATCGACTACAGATATTGTAAGGCCTGTATATTATCGTTTTGCTCATTCCACCACAAATAGTGCTACTGTAAGCGAAAGTGTGGGCGAAAACCCGAATGTGTCTTCATATCGACATTCTTAGGAGCTGGACATTTTTTTACGGTACATTATGGCGTAGTGCGCACCTGAACTTATGTACATATGAATTCCAGTCCACGTAACAATTAAAACCAACTGACTATTTTACACGCCGTACATCCGTCGATAGCGTGCTTGAACAACAAGAAGTAGCTGGCGATTTTTTGTACGAAATTTTCTTCAGCGACCAGGCACATTTCTCACTAGAAGGATACGTAATTTACCAAAATTTTCATATTTGCGGCTCCGAGAATACTCTAATAATTGAAGACAGGGCATCACACCCAAAAAACTGACTTTTTTGCGAACGTCATCTTCGAGACTGCCGCTGTCTATTAGAAGCTTGATGGTCGAATGATAACCGACTTTTCTTGGCCTGTAATTGAAGGAACGACTTGGAAGATATGTGGTTTCAACAAGATGGTGCCTTATGATACGAGGGAATACGGCTTAATGGCAAGACAAGTTTCCCGGCTGCGTAATCTCTCCTTTGCGATTGCCCCGTTGGGTACTTTTTCTGGGGCTATGTTAAAGACCGCTTTTAAGCTGATAAGCCTTTAACTTTTCGGCAAGTTGAAGTGGTGAAAAGTCGTCACAAATTACTTCAAAAGAATCGAAGTTTGAAAAAATCGCGGGGCGGTTATGTGGGTGATGTATACATATATTTTCGAAACCGCAATATGGATGATCCTGTACGTACAAACCTACCAAAATAAATATGTAATCTACTAAATGCTGTTGGCATTTACTTTCTTAATGGAAATTTCACATCCAGGCAAAATTCTTCAAATGCTTTCTTGCGTTCCTAAAATCTGTTTCGTTTTGCATGAGGGAAATAAAAAAGAGATGTTAAGAGATAATTCAACTGTGTAGCTGAAACGCAAATTTGTTTAGAGCACAAGCAAACTGATGAACTGACGGCCATGGCTTAACTCGTCATTCTGACCGGTATAAATTTTGATAGGTCTGTCTTCTCCCCTTCTGACACCTACATACATGCGATGTGTGACAATTAAGTAATGACACTAATTCCATAAAAACGATATATATCAAAATTATTCTATAACTCTGCCACCTTGTTTTCCATGTTTCGTAACGTTTCTGGAACGTTTCGATTGGGATGTTTGCGAGTGCCCTCGTCACGACGGCCTGGATGTCCTGAATCGGTTCAAAATGGATTCCTTTGACCATCGATTTCGCTCTAGGGGGGAAAAATATGATATGGTGACATATCAGGCGAATAAGGCCGTTGTTGCAACACGACGATCCCTTTAGAAAAATACTGGGCTGGGCTGAGGGCGGTGTGGCACGGTACGTTGTCGTGATGAAGGATCCAGTATCGAGCAATGTTTGGGCGCACACTATTGACTCGTTTTTGCAATCTTTCGAGTACTTGGGGATAATAGACTTGATATACAGTTTGCCCCGGTGAAAAAAATTCTTTGTTGGCGTTTCCACGGCTATCAAAAAAGGCAATAATCATCGACTTGCTCATGCGCACTATCGCCATGCACTTTTACAATTTTAGCATATGTTTCGGAAGCTGTTTCGTTTCGCCCAATTTATAGCAAAATTTCAACGTTGCTCTTAATTTCGTTTCGTGGAAACTGATCCGCTAAGAAGTTTCGCTGCGAGCAATGTATTGACATGAAAGTGGAAGTTGAGCTTAAGGTCAATCATAGCCCACAAATCAACAAAGTTGTTCATTTATTCTGGACGACGGGTATAGTTATAAATTGTATAAGGAGAAGGGTGAACAAGTCTTCGCGAAAAGCACATGGTCTTACACTTCTAACCCCCCTCTCCCTTTCTTTCAACACCCGTCGAAACAGCTCGTTTCCTGGACCTCCCACTAGATGACCGCGGCGACTTAGATTGATCAAACCTAGGTACAGGTGGCGGGGTTAGCGAGCCGTACAGCAAAAACAACAACAACACTTCTGAAGATTCAAAGACATGCCATTGTTATGACACCAAATAGCTTAAGTGTCTGGTTTTTTTTTTGTAACAAATGTATTTCTTCGAATGAGGTATATGACATAAGAAGGTATACATCATCGGCAAATTATATAAGAGTATATGAAAAAAAATCGAGCCCTGACCTTCCAGATGGTAGTACCTTTTTGTCTATTGTAGAATTCAATGAAAGAGAAAGATGACTTACTCTCCCAAAGAAAGATATTTACTGAGTTTTTCTTTTTTCTTTTGGAATACTTTTATAAGTATTTAAAGAAAATAGAGTATCTTCTGGTGGAAGTAGTGGAAGTGAAAGTGGTTGGGGAAATGGAAAGACCAGGTAAAGTAGTACCTGGCTGCAAGGAGTGAAAAGAAGGAATGAAGGGCGCAATATTGTTAACTCGGCTATAATCGCGGAAGCGGTGTTTACACGTGTGAAGAAGAAGATTGCAAAATAAGACCAACAATTTTACATTTTATTTATTAATTGGATTTAATTATAATTGAAGTAGGGAAATATAGTCAAGAAATATGTACATATAATATGTTTCGAATCTCAAAATGTGTTAGTACATAACGGCAACAAATACTTCTTTCATTTCAGTCCATCGCTCACTTGGCGTGACATCCAACATTTAACTGTATTGACATCCAAACGTAACTCACTATTCGACGCAAAGAATCGTTTCCACTGGACAATGAATGGCGTTGGATTGGAATTTAATCATCTTTTTGGTTTCGGAGTACTGGACGCAGGTGCAATGGTAATATTGGCCAAACAATGGCGGTCAGTTCCTGCACGTTATCATTGTGAAGCGGGCGAAATAGTTGAGCCACAGTAAGTAAAAGTGAATAATGTATTCGGTTAAGAGTATTAAATATACATACATACTCGTACTCATACATATATGAAAGGAAACATAATATGCAATCACAAAAGTTATGAAAAAAGACGAATTTTGAATTTTGTATTTTCTTCTTGAGAAAGGTCATTTTGGATTTCATATGCGTCCTGTTATAAATGCGTATGATTTCCGTACATTCCAAGTATACTCAAAAGAGTAGAAAAAAGTGAGGATCAACTTAAATACTACCTTCTCTTGGTACATTTACAGTAGCTGCATACTGTTGGGAAATTTTAGTTAAAATAGATAATTTCATCAACTGCGCAATATTTTAATTAAAAAATATTAAAAAAAAAAACAAAATCAAACTGCTGATATTAAAAATAATTTTGAAAAAAATCTTTGAAGAAATATACCACCCGTTTGAATTGTTTTACTTGAAAACATTGTAATATAGGTTTGTTTGTTGAGTTCATAATACAAAAAGGAAAGGTAGTTTCACTCAATGTAAAATTGACGGAAAAACATTTTATGACATTATATCAGGTGTACAACTTTGCTTCCGCCGTTTTCCGATAGGTGGCTGTACCGGCTGAGGCTGGTTGAAATACATAGATGATAATGCCTCTAAAGTGAGTGTGGACAGTGCCTAACGAATTGTCATCGCCGTTTCAGTGACAGTTGTTCTTGTTTTCGTATTATTCACGCCCGAAAGTTTTACTTTTCTGTTACAATTCGAAAAAAATGCAGCTGAAGGACATCGAATGTTCTCAGAAACTTACGGTGATGCTGCTCTGAGTGAAAGAACGTGTCGGGAGTGGTTTCAACGTTTTAAAAATGGTGATTTCGATGTCGAAGACAAACATGGTGGTGGAAGAGAAAAAAACCTTTAAAAATTTACCACGAGGTCTTAAAACCGCGAGAAACCATCACAGGAGATCGCTACCGAACGCAACTGATGCGCCTTAGACGCGTGCTTAAAGAAAAGCGGCCACAATATCAAGAGCGACATGACAAAGTCATCCTCCAACACGACAATGCTCGGCCTCACGTCGCAGAAGTGGTCAAAAAGTACCTGGTAACGCCGAAATGGGGAGTCTTACCCCACCCGCCGTATTCCCCAGATGTCGCCCCTTCTGACTTCCACCTATTCCGTTCGATGGCACACGGCCTGGCTGATCAACATTTTCAATCCTTCGAAGAATTGGAAAAATGGATTGCTTCATGGATAGCGTCAAAAGAGGACTCCTTTTTTCGAGCCGGGTCGGAAAGATGTGAGAAAGTTGTCGCTAGCGAAGGACAATACTTTGAATAATATATCTGTAAGCACTTTTCCGCAATAAAGCTTTTAATTTTGGAAAAAAACGGCGGTAGCAAAGTTGTACACCTGATATATTATTTTCATCTTGAGGTGACATATTAAAAATACTTCACAGATTTTTTTTTTATAAAAAAATGCATAGCTTAGCAAAAATAGTTATATTTCAATTAGATTTTAGAAAATGCAATGCAAAGTTTTTAAGGGTACGTTTTATTTTTCTTTATTTTTTTGTTTACAAAGAAAGGTTTTGCATTTTTTCTAATTAATATATTTTTTTTCAAATTTTAGTAAGTTGAAAATTTACTTTTTTTAAATATAATAGTTGGCACAAAACTAAAGCAAAAGTCAAAAAATATTTTTATGACAGAGAGTTAATATTTTTTAAAAAAATTTTGATTGAAGCTACATTTTTTTATCATGGTTGAATTGCTTTGAATTACGCCAATTTACTCTATTTCAAAAAATTGTGTTTTATGAAAACCTGCTTGCACTTATTTGCTTTAATTTTTGTTTCATGAGCAGCTTAGGCTCAAATTCATAATGTCCGATTAACTTAACCTTTAACCGGAAGATAGCTTACCGTCAGGAAGATTGATGTAAAATTTGCCAAGCACCAAGCTCTGGTTACTTAACTTCTGGTTAGTTTGATCATTGTGAATATTTTGAGGTAGATTCACAAAAACCTGCAATGTGAATACATCCAAACGGCATGACAGCTGGTATTTGCTTACATATTTCCACACGTTATTATTGAGTAATTCTTTGGATCTTCCGTTTTTTCTTTTTTAATTTTTACTTTTATTTTGTGGTTATGGAAAAAATTGTAATTTAATGAAATTTATTTCATATATTTTTTTGAGCAAAAATACTTGGATGGTTTTAAATTGCATGTATATAATGTATGTAATATATGTATACGGTTTCCTGGCACCTCAGATAAGTTTTCGTCGGCATCAACGAATGTTTTTGCTGGTTCATTCACTTGAACTTCTGCCTTATCCAAACTAGAGTCATTCTAGATAGCTAAATTGTTCAACACTCTACAGGCAACTATGATGTTCATAGTTGTGCTGAACGAAATTCTCAATCCATCGCTCTTCGATATGAAATTTCAAGTAGGGATTTGATATTCATTGTACAGACGTTCAGCGCGAAGGTTGGGATGTAAAATTTGACACTTTAGTTGCTGACAAACCATAACCACTACCACCTAATTTAAAGAAGTCCCTGAATTCATTTTGCCCAAACCGATGGTTCAGACAGCTGCTATCAAAAATAATGCTGTCATGTCCAGAACCAGGTGACCTGCATACAAAGTCCATTATTTCCATTTTACAAGTACCCTTTTCTGCTTCGATAACTTTCGTTATATTGCAATCTAAAGACCCCAACACCTTTGGAAACTTCGCTATTCGGTGAAATGTGCTCATTGTGCTCTCAATTTCCTTGCTTTTTTCGGTATTCTGAAGAATGATCGGACGAGTGCCGCGATAGCAATGTATACTATTTACCACCCGACTTTTATTGCGCCCAACACCGGAACACAAATTAAAACACTTCCCGATGCATAAAAACGTATTGTTAAAAGCAAAATTTCTGCTGCTTCATTTCTGCAAAATCAAATAAATCATCAACAATATTTATTTACCCAAAGCACATTATTTTCACAAGCCTTTCAGTACGGCTTCTAATTTTACTTTCTATTTTTTACAAAATGTATTTTGCACCAATTTCGGAAAGACGAAATCTACGAATAAAAACTTCTCCATCATATTTCCAAATCAACAGAGCCAGATATGCCGTGCGTACCAAATTTTCCCTTATAAAATTTATTTTAAAACCAACACCGGAAAACTATTTTATTTATTATTTTATAATTTCCAAATTATCTTCGGATTAAAAGCTAATCGCCACTCAAAATCGGCGTTAAGTTAACCGCAACTTCACTTAAAGATGCGCCTTAACCGAACATTGTGAAAACGAATTTTATGCTACCTTCCGAATAAGTTATGATTAAGTGCTTAATAGGAGATAGTGAAAACGGTCCGTAGAGTAAAATTTTCTGCTCTAGTTATTTTGGCAAATAAAAACCGAAAGAGGGCAGAATGTGGCTAACTGACATACCTAAATTGGACTCGACGCCAATGAGTGACAGCGCGCACTATCCCAAAATAAGAGCGCTGATACTTTGGCGTTTTCTCTTTCTCTTCAACTTCGTCTTATACTTCGAACTTAATCGGTCGATAAAAGTGTGCCTCCACTAGTTGAATTAATTATCCAGTGCATATTTAAATCTTTATTTGCAAAACACACTTTATTTGTCAAATTTTTCTCCAATTTGTCTATTCCCCTTCGTCAGTTGTTTCTCATTTGTTTCACACTTTTATCCTTCACATCAGACTTCATCATATAACGCACTGTCAAAATTGAAAAACCCATTTGCTCAGCGTTGACGCCGCGCTATGTGGGATGTCCCTTACGAATTGTATTTGCATTAGAATTTTTGACGGTTGTTGAGTGCTCAGCGCTCCAATTTAGCGACATTAGTAAGGAAAAAAATATTAAAATAATTTATAAATTATTAATATTGATTTATTGTGTTTTTTTTTAGTTCTACTCTGCTTTCAGTCTCACTTAGCAAACAAATGTAAAATAAATTTTTAATTTTAATCTAAGAAAAATATTCTATTAAAATTATATGCATGTGTAATACGTTGCGGGTAGCATACGCCGGGTTTGCGCAAATAATCATAATTATTGGTACGTATGCTCGTTTAAAGTATCGATCCCATAAACTAAATTAATTTTTTCAGCCGCTTTGGCTACTTTTTCGCCTTTATCGAAGAAAAATTGTAAATTATAGCAAATTTTCCTTTGCTGGTGTCCATCTTTGACGAGCGCTCACAACATACTGAATCAATCAATCGGAAAACTGTCAAAAACAAACTTTTAGCGCGAATAAACACGTTTTCAGCGCCGTATAGTACGACATGATGCGACACGTAACACTAGTACTATGAACAATAACGCCATCTCTTAGATCAAAACCGAACGAACTTTTTACTTGACCTAATACATTGACAACATAATTTTTATATTCAAATATACCATGTGTACATACATAAGTTTTATGCTTGACTCGTACTTCCTTTTTAACATTTCTTTGTAGACCAATTTACACAGGGCGATCAATATTCCTGGAAATTAAAACAGACTCGTGCAAAGGAACCGATACTGAAGTGAATTATTTGGAACATGTGCAGGCAGTTATATCTGCCAATGCCACAAGGCGTGGTGATTTAGAATTGTTCCTTACTTCACCCTTGGGTACAAGGTAAGTACGGATAGACTGATTTATTTTCAGGAACTGCCGTTTTGTTAGTTCTCTTTGAGAGGAATTTGAAGTGAACTTGTTGTATTTGTGGCATACTGACAATAATATATACACATTTTGTAGATCAATGATATTATCGCGGCGCGCCAATGACGATGACCACCGTGATGGCTTCACAAAATGGCCATTCATGACCACTCATTCATGGGGCGAATATCCACATGGTACCTGGAAATTAGAGGTAAGCAGTGAAGTTGTTATTCAAAAATATTTTTATTAATGTTTCGTTTATATGTTCCCTGTTCAGGCCCGTTTTAATTCGCCACAAGCACGTTCGGGTTGGCTTCTTGAATGGTCACTTGTGTTACATGGCACGAAGGAGGCACCGTATCGCACATTATCACCCGCTTCACCGCATTCTAAGCTGGCTATTGTGAAAAAAGCTCACGAAGACCGAAAAATGAAGTAAATATGTCAACTATCAAAAAATCAACAACTCCAAGGAGACAAAAACAACTAAACAAACTTCATACATACATATGTATGTACGAGTATGTTTAATGTGAAAAAACAATAGCAGAGAACATAGAAGAAATGAAAAATCAAAAGCCGACGCTAATGCAGGTGGTAAAAACAAGAGTTTCAATAGAAAAGCAAACGCATATTTCAAATGTGAAATGTGAAAAACCAAACAATGATACATACATATACAACATAATACGACATTGGCGGCAGCAGTAATCAAGTCAATAAGTTTTGATGGTAGTAATTAAAAATCGAGTAGCAGAGGTTATGAATGTAGAGATCGAGGATAGATTAATTCAGCTCAGTACTTTTATAATATTTCACTTGATAATTTCTCTAGAGATTCTGCTTAATTCATTTTTTATTTGGTGAAAAACAAAATTTACTTTTTTTTTTTAAAAACTGCGAAATTTATTGAATTATTATCCTTTTTCGATGCAAAGTATATACATTTATTTAATCAATTTCAATTTGTGCACATTTATGCAAGAACATTATAATTCTGTTAAGTAAAATAAAATTCTTGTTAATGCGATACGGCACTCATAACGCACATACAACCTGAAAATGATTATATGCATGTATTTATTCACAGTAAATAGTACATGTAAATGTACATACATACAATATATACATAGATGTATACATATAGCTTTACCATCAAAAACATTTTGTTTAAAATAAAATTTAAAAAAAAAAAATGTTATTAGTTGATGAGTCTACGATGTGTATATACATATATGTTACACACTGTCATAGACATAGTGTATGTATATGAAATAACAAATAATTTGTGCTTTCACAATTTGATTTAAATTTTACTTTAACCCTATAAGCATAAATAGATGTATACATATAGCAAACAGCATCCAAAAATAACCTTACATATATGTATTTATGTATATCTCTATACACGTAATATGTGTGCTTTATCATACATTTATGTGTATAAAAGTGAAAACATCTTAATATATTATATATTCAATATATATATATAAATAGATAAGTATCAATATTACACAGGTATAAATGTAGGAATAATAATATCTAAACCTTCCTATAAAGTTGTAATGATAAATATAAATAAACAAGATTTTAATTCTAATTATAATAAAAATTATATATATATATATATATATATACATTCTTATATGTACATATATGCGCAACTATTTCCACAACTATTACACCTACATGCATACATATATACACAAAAGGATAATTTATATTTTTTATCTATAAAATATTGAACTTTTTTCCTTTAAAAAATGTTTTCATTTACCTAGTACCATGTATTGTTTAAAACATGATTTAAAAAGTGAGCTAGTTTCATTCAAAAAAAATTAAAATTATTTGAATATTAACTATTAACTGACATTTTAATTTGACTTTTGCTTTCTTTTTGTGCTACGTAAATTATTTATTAATTATGTTTAAGTTTATAAAAATAAAAGGGTATATAAAAAAATTAAAAAAAAAAAATATGGTAATTAAAAAAAAAATAAAAAATTCAAATACTTTAAATTTAATTTTCTGAGATCTAAAGGAAATAAAATATTTTTTGTATTTTTTATGAATACATACATATGTATGTAAATGAAATGTAATATTTTGAAATTTGCAATATCTAAGTTTGAAAATAAGATCAAAAACTCTTTTAGTGTAAATTTTATATTGAGTGGAGTTACATTCCTTTCTATTGCTTTTTATCTGGGTTGAAATATAAATGAATAACCTAAATACCTTACGTATTCATGAGAAAAACTTACGTGCATTCATATGTAAAATACACACTTAATATATATAACATATATATATATACATACAATAATACCCACTCATATTGGGGCAACAAATAATATACTATATATAGATACGTATGTATGTAGTATATAGTACACAAATAAGTATATTATAACACCTTCGAGATACCATTGCATGCATTTGCACTGTTATTAGGTTAAATTTTAACTTTATGTATAACGTTATGTTAAACTTTTGTTGTTTCTGAATGAAAAATCTACATATATATATTCTCTTATATACATATATATGTTTATTTGTTTCAGTATGAATAATTTGTTGGTAGTAAAGATATTACATTTTCTCCTATTATAATTTATCAAAGCTGCCAAGTCAATTTAGTTAATTCATATTTCCTTTGATTTCGATCTTTCGGGGGCCAAAACAAAAACAAAAAAAAAAATAAGAAAAAGAATTGAAAACTTCTTTAGCAAATCTGGAAAATCTAATTTAGAAATATGTATGTGTGCTTTAGTAAAAACTTTTTAAACCAAAACTAGCGAATTAAAGCCGTAGGTGTGTTAAAAATGTAGAAATTGAGATTTTGAATGTGAAAAGCTCTAAAGGATGGGGTGATTAAAAGTTTATATTAATTGTTAAAGTTTGTGAATGACATGAAATATGTACATACATACATACATACATAAATGCATACAATATTCATATGAAAAAAGTACACGCACGCAAATATTTAACTAACTAATTACAAATAAATATATATATAAATAAATAAATAAATAAATAAATGAACAATAAACATGTGAATTATTATATGTGTGTATATATAAAAAAAAAATAAACAAATGAATGTATAATAATATATGATAATGAGTGGTAACATGTATGTATATGAAATGAATTGAAGAAAAATAATTGTATAAAATTATTTAAGGGCATAAAAATTACTAAAAATACTACATAAAACACACAAAATATATACTTAATAAATATATATATATATACACATACATATATTTACAACATAAGCATATTAATAGATATATACAAATATACATACAACAACATAAAAATATGAATGAAATTATTATAATCCTTTGATGTTGTAGATACTATTATAAATTAGTTAAAAATACAAACATATATTTATTGGCAAGCATAAATATGTACGTAATATTTATTTCAATTGATTCCATTTAGCCACAGCCAGATGCCTACTCAAACATATACAATACATACATATAATACATGCAAACATACAAACACTCATACACAAAAGATCACACAATCGTAGTTATTAATACAATTTATTTGATTTTATCTTTTCTATTTCAAGTACATACATAAATATTGACTAGGTTTTGTAAATAAATAAATTGTTCTATTTATTATGGTATACTCACTGAAAATTGTTTCGACTTTTTAACAAAAAAACAACGAAATGTTCCAAAAGTCGCAAAAGTTGTGCGAGTTTTTGGGAATCCCTCGGCATTGGAAGGCAGGAGTTACAAGAACGTTCAAATGAGTTCGCCTCTAACTCTTAAAACGAAAATATTACCTTTTTGAAATTTAGAAAAACCAACAACTTGGTGTAAAGAAACTCCCAATAACTCGACATATATTTTAATAAAAAAAAGTTCCTAAAACTTTTTCCTGCAACAAACATAGAGTTTTGAAAATAAATATTTGCAAGACATAGAAAATCGCTGAAAAAAATTATACGCAATAAAAAAGCGCGGTATTTCAAATCTCCTTCCCCCCCCCAATTGATTTGCGACGCTGTTGAAAGAGAAGTTAATACGAAAAGAAATGTCACAAGACTGAAAAAGGCTGTCCTTAGGTCAACGTTGCCAAGAAGAGAAACACTCGAAAACAAATCAAACGAGTTATATCTCCCTTCCGCTTTTTTGCTCTTCATTCAATGCTTTATAAGAAGTGTTACAGTGATCGGATTTAGTTAAAATATGCGCCGTTTTGTTCGATGATCTGTTTCCATCTAGACGGCAACTTCATAATACCTTCCTCGTAGAAGCCCCCCTCCTTATTTGAGAAGAATTCGGACAGCTACTTTTCACAAGCCTCTTTTGAGTTCAACTTCACACCACCAAAGGCATTCGCCATGGACAGCAAAAGGTGGTAATCACTTGGCGCGGGCTATATGGTGGATGCGATAAAACCTCCCATCCGAGCTCCCGTAGCTTCTGACGAGTCATCAACGAAGTGTGTGGTCTGGCGTTGTCCTGGTGGAACACTACACCCTTCCTGTTGGCCAATTCTGGACGCTCCTGGTCACCCGCCTGCTTCAAGCGGTCCAGTTTTTCGCAGTAGATGGTAGAATTAAGCGTCTGGCCATATGGGAGCAGCTCATAGTGGATGATTTCCTTCCAATCCCACCAAACCCACAGCAAAACCTTCCTGGCCGTCAATCCCGGGTTGGCCACTGTTTGGGACGATTCACCGGCCTTCGACCACGACCGTTTTCGCTTGATATTGTCGTATGTGATCCATTTTTAGTCGCCAGTCACCATCCGCTTCAAGAATGGGTCGAGTTCGTTCCGTTTCAGCAGCATATTCAGAAGGTTTTTTTGCGTCAAATTATGCGGCACCCAAACATCACACTTTTTTATGTATCCAGCCTTCTTCAGATGGTTCAAAATGGTTTGGTGACTAACTCCCATCTACTGGGCGATGTCACGAGATGCCATATGCCGGTCTAACTCGATGTATTCCATGATTTGGTCGGTATTTGTCGTCACAGGTCTTCCGCCGGCTGGCTTATCCATGGTGACGTTTTCACCGGCTCTGAATCGTCGAAACCATTCCTCCGCGGTTCGAAGTGATAGAACCATTAATCTCACGGAGCGTTTCTCTTGCGGATTTGCCTTTAACGAAGGAAAACTTTAAAATAGCGCGAATTTTGGCGTTAGTGAACTCCATTTTTACACGTCTATAACTGTTGAACGCAATATCCAAACTAATCATGCATAGCGTTGTTTTGTAGGTTATGTCAAGACCTACGAGATACGAGCTCTGTAGCGCTTTGTGCATAGCCGCGAAATTCAAAAGACAAAAAAGCGATATTTGACAACCTTATATATGGTTTCATGAACGGACACTTCTACAGCATACAAATTTGATGTAGAAATGAAAAAAATTAAAGAAATTGGCTTATTAAAACAAGGACTTATCTTTACCCGAAGTTCGAATAATTGAGCTATTTAAATATGGTGGCAAAAAGCAACAAGATGCCTGTGAGTTATAAGCTTTCGCCAAATAGAAAAAGTGTCTTTATGGGCTTTTGTCTAAAAGCCTTACACTCATCATTAACGAATCGATCAATTCTAATCAGTTTGGGTGGTAAATACCAAATCCTGGAAAACCCCATAAGATATAGATCTACACAGTGTTCGACAGCAAGAGATGAATCTCTTCATCGCCGTATAACGCATGTATGGCATTTCCGCAGAACGGCTTTGTGGACTGCCGCATTAGGAAGCATCTCACCGAGTCGTACGACATGGTGACTCTTTATAGTGTAAGATTTTTAATTTAAAGCCAGGTACCTCTAACATATTTAAAAAGAGTGAAATTTTTTTCCTGTAAATTGTTAGAAAATATGTACTCTTTGAAATAATATAGAATTAGTTTCGAAGGTCCGCAAGACCCAGAAGTAAGTATAGAAGAGGGGCGAGCGGTGCGCGCAAAGTGGTAAATCTGAGCGCTCCAGTACTTTAATCGTGTTATTCTCGAAACTATGTTTTTCAACTAGGTGACACTCTTATTTAGAACCTATTATTAGAATTTATCAACATGAACTGAACGGTATATTTTTTTAAATAAATAAAATTTGTTTGAAAAAAACACCTTTATTGGAGGATTCTGGTCTTAAGTTAGTCAGCTAGCATGGTTTGAAAAATCTCCCTTTTTGGAAGGTGCGAACGAAACTCGAAATAATACGAAGTCATAGCGCCTATACGAGTACGTGAGCGTCTCGTGGTAGCAAGCGCTAAGCTGCAAGGTAGCGCTTGGTGAAACTGCCTCCAAGTTAACTATTGTTGGGAGTCCTTGAGCTTTCGCTTTGTGTGGAGTGGGGAAAATGAAAATATTAGCCGTTGTCATAGCTGTAAAAAGAATTAGTATTATAAAAATAGTTTGGTTTGAAAAGAAGTGTGTTTTAAACTTTTAAAAGTATTAAAAACTTCAAACTTGAATTATGATTCTTTCCTGAGGAAGAGATCAACAAATTTTGGAAAGAAAAAGCGAGCTAAGATGATTTACAAGAAGTTGCTTGTAAGTATGATTGTAAGTATGATTGTAAGTATAATATAATATAATCATATTCAAAAATTGCCCAAAAAACAGTAGACAACATTACCGTCGGCTGCTTTATGCATTACTCCGACGTTGAAGCGTTGAAGTCAACAAACAAACTCATGGCAACTCGTGCATTTCAACTTTCTGAAAGATGTCTGATTCGGAGTTTTGCAGCAAAAAATATAAATGATGAAATGCAAGAGTTTTCTTGACTTCGATTTTCACATGGCGGAAGTCGATAATAGTGATGGATTGAATTTTTCGATACGAAATTTAATGGAAGACTAAAAAGT